ACAACCTGTCAGTCAGGCTTTCCTGGCAGCCTCACCTGCCTCCAGATCTTTCCAAACAAGGAATGGAGCTGCAAACATGGCAATCACCTTCCCGGCAGCGGCAGACAGCTGCCATGGAGCAGCAGAAGACGAGCCAGTCCAGCCGGGGAGGCGGAGACGTGATCAGGCTGCGGCAGCCCCCCATACCGAGCTAGAGCTCGGGCGGACCCCTCCCCCCTACCTCCCGCAGGGAGTGTGGTGGGTGTCCAAGGGCACCCTCAGTCCGGCCAGGGCTCCACTGCCAAGGACCAGCATCGGAGCAGCCACCTGTTCAGGCAGCAGTTCTGGAAGGACCCCTGGGGGTGGGGGAGGGGGGAACTAGGGCTTTTGCTAAACATTTGTGTGACTAGGGCAAGTGCCCTGGCATTGGACTCCGACTGCAGCGCACAGGGCCTGGGGTCTCTTCCATCCAGCTCTGCCATTCTGATTCTAAAGATCCCTTAGGAAGAGCAAAGTGTGGCTTTTAGCCGCTGAGGCGGGTGAGGGCCCAGAAACCACACTTTCTAGGCTGTGAAGTGGCCCTGATCCTCTCTTCATAGTCCAAATGATTGCTTCAGTGGAGTGTTGACATGAAGAGGTATTGGAGATCTGACCCTGGATAGGCCTGAGTGATCTGGGACTCAGGGTCCCAGAAGGCTGGAATGAAGAACCTCCTTTGAGGGTTGATATAGGAGAATTTAAGGGGTCCCCACCTTGCTTCCCATCAGCCTGATGGGTGTCACTGCGCATGCCAAGGACAGCCTGATGGGCATGCCAGCTTCCCCCAGAAGTGACTGCCTTTTACTCCATGAACTGTCTGAGATTGCACAGGTCCCTCTGAGTTCTTGAAAGTATGAGGACAAACTGAAGGGAGGATGGTCTCAACACGAATGTGGGTGATTTGCCCCCAGTGAAGCCACAGTGTGGGTAGTTCATCCCACAGAGATGGATGCCTTTTCTGTCTGCTCCCATTCAGATGTCTTCTCAAATCAAAAAATGTCTACTCTTTAGCTCCCAGCCCAGGTGACACTTACTTTCACCAAGCCCAGCTTGCCAGCTTCCTCCTATAGAGTAGTGGATGAATCCCCCCCCCATGCCACACGGAGCAGGACCATCAAAGTGGCCCTAGGATGAGAAATCTGGAGGGAGCCGACAGGAATCCATTTAAAAATATTCCTTCAGCTTAAAACGTGATGTAGGTGGGGAAAATACCACGATCAGATGGAAATTAGGGTGGCAGAGGATGTCACCAAGTCATCTCGATACATCACAACAAAAAGGCTGGGATCTGGGTGCCGAGGAAACGTTCAATAAGCTGTGTGTGAAGACTCAGCCTCTCTTCAATATCCTAGCTAGCTCCCCCTTCCCCCTTCCCGTGCCACACCCTTTCTGCGCTCTTTAAAGGGGCTTAGCATTCTCATGCTCTCTACTTCCTCACCCAGTTTTCAGCAAAGTATCTCTAATAGTCATTTACACCTGCATTCGAAGATAAGTTCCTGGGTGACAGCTTATGTAAAATTTCAGGTCAACTTTCAGAAGGTATTTGCTGTGGTTTGAATGTGTCCCCCACAAAAGCATGTGTTGGAGACGTAATTGCTATTGTAACCATATTAAGAGGTGAGCCTCTTAATAAGGTAGCTCATGCCTGTAATTCCAGCTGCTTAGGAGGCTGAGGTGGGAGAATCACTTGAGGCCGGGAGTTTGAGACCAGCCTGGGCAACATAATGAGACCCCATCTCCAAAAAGTAAAAACATAAAAAATTAGCTGGGTGTTTGTGATATGGCTGTTAGCTGGTAGCTGGTCTCAGCTACGCAAGAGTTGGAGAGTGAGGTGGGAGGATGGCTTGTGCCTACGAGTTTGAGGCTGTAGTGAGTTATGATTGTGCCGTTGTACCCCAGCCTGGGCAATACAATGAGACTTTGTATCTAAAAAATACAAAATTGAGGCTGGGCGTGGTGGCTCATGCCTTAATCTCAGCACTTTGGGAGGCCAAGGTGGGCGAATCATGAGGTCAGGAGTTCGAGACCGGCCTGGCCAACATGGTGAAACCCCATCTCTACTAAAAATACAAAAATTAACCAGGCGTGGTGGGGCGTGGTGCCTATAATCCCAGCTACTCGGAAGGCTGAGGCAGGAGAATCACTCGAACTTGGGAGGCATAAGTTGTATTGCACTGAGATCACACCATTGCACTCCAGCATGGGCTACAGAGTGAGACTCTGTCAAAAAGAAAGAAAGGAAGGAAAAAACAAAGGAAGGAAGGAAAATGAAAGAGGCGGGACCTTTAAGAGGTGGTCTGCCCTCATGAACGGATTAATGTCTTTGTCCATTGTCTCAGGAATGGGATCCTTATAAGAAGAGGAGATCAGCCCTTCTCTCTGCCTTCCTTTTCCTCCTCTCTCTCTTTCTCTCTCTCCCCCCCATTTTCTCTCTCTCGCTCACCCACGTGATGCCTTCTGCCATGCTGTGATGCAGCAAGGCCTTACCAGATGCTGCCCCCTCAGTCTTGGACTTCACAGCCTCCAGAACCATGCCAGTAAATTTCTGTTGACTATAAATTACCCAGTCTGAGGTGTTCTGTGGGAGCAGCCCAAAACAGACAAAGACAGTATTCGTATTTAAATAATCTAAGACATTTTATATCTAACTCTGGACTTTCTTCTCTGGTAAAAACAAGATCAGTGTTGATAGCACTTGGTCTCAGAGCCCCTGACAGAGCACTAAGTCACAAGCACTTACTCCGCCGTTAGATATGGTGGCCTGGCTGAGGCTCTGGCAGTGGGGCAAGCCCAAAACAAAGCAAGTGGTCCCAGTGCCCCTCCCGACTTCCACTCCCTGCTCCAGATTGATAGACTGGACACCGTCTATCAATGTGGTTAAGATTAGAAAATCTGGCCCAGTGTGGTGGCTCACACCTATAATCCCAGCACTTTGGGAGGCTGAGGTGGGCAAATTACTTGAGGCCAGGAGTTCAAGACCAGCCTGGGAAACACAATGAAACCCTGTCTCTACTAAAGTTACAAAAATTAGCTGGGTGTGGTGATGGGTGCCTATAACCCCAGCTACTAGGGAGGCTGAGGCAAGAGAATCACTTGAACTCAGGAGGTGGAGATTGCAGTGAGCTGAGATGGGATCACTGTATTCCAGCCTGAGTGACAGAACGAGACTCTGTCTCAAAAAAGAAAAAAAAAAAATTAGCCGAGTGTGGTGGCACATACCTGTAATCCCAGCTATTCAGGAGGCTGAGGCAGGATAATTTCTTGAACCCAGGAAGTGGCGGTTGCAGTGAGCAGAGATCATGCCGCTGCACTCCAGCCTGGGCCACAGAGCAAGACACTTTCTCAAAAAAAAAAAAAAAAAAAAAAAAAGGTTGAGTCAGGCCCAGAGATTCCTGAGTGCAGCTTTGTCAGTTTCCCCTTGTCCAGAAAGGATTCAGTAGGCCCACTCTTGGTCCTTTTCTGAATCAGCCTAAAAGTGACCTCTCTTGGTTGGGGCAATTTGGGAGAGCAAATTGCAAGGAGCAGAAGCTTGGAAAGGGCTGGAAGGGAGGAAGGAGGGTATTGTTGCAGTCAGTGCCAGTGGTTCCGCCTCCCACCCCAATGCTGTGGACTGCTGGCCAATGGGTGCACATGCTTTTTAGCCTCTGGCTCTTCTCTGCCATTCCCACCCACAGCTGGACTATGCATTGCAGAGGCACATAATTGGCTCTGTGTGTTGGAGCCAGTGAGGGAAGAGCTACAACATAAAGGACAGAAGGGAGATGACAGGGAAAGAGGATCCTGCACCTTTCTCTCTGCCTACCCACTGTGGTCCCCTCTGCCCTCAGGTGGGTCACAGAATGGGAATGGAAAGCTCAAGAGATCTGCAGTCAGAAGACCTGAGACTTCTTCATTTGCTAGCTGTCGTCTAACTTTTATTTTTCCCATCTGTAAAATAGGGATGTTGGTTAGAGTTAGAGACGAACACTAGGTTGTGAGGATGCTCTTAAGTGTGGGAAGGAACTTGGTAGTCTGTAGATGGATGCACAGATGTGAATTGTTATTCCTGCTCGTGTCTTGCAGGAAGTGGGGTGCCTGGCCAGACACCTCAGCATGCATATCACTCATCAAGCCACCTCCACCTCTGCACATACAGGTGCATGTTCCACGGTAAAGCAAAACAACAGCCTCAAAAACAACCAACAGAAACTGAAGGTGTGAAGTTTATCCGCGTGGGTTCTTATCAATCCAACGAGACTTAGACTGGGGCCTCTAGAACTCATACCATGAGCACTCATGAAAGCTTTCGTGGGAGCCTGGAAGAGGGAAGGAGCATGGAGGAGGGGCAGGATCTCTTTAAAGAGCAAATTAATGTATGCCAAGCTAACACATGCCAACCAACATTACTGAGTATCCCCTGAATGCCCATACCTAAGCTGGACATTGGCTCATAGGAGCCAAGACAACTCTGAAGGGTTTTACAGTCAATGGAGATGATAGGTAGACCTTCCTTCCAACAGAGAAATAATGGGCAACATAGACCACAGAACCCATAAGTGTGGAAGGAAGGAAGCTGTTCTCCTCAGAGCCCCAGGCCCATCCCATCAAATGATGGTGCTCCAGGGGGAAATGGAGTCCTCCTTGGCTGGGCAGAGAGCATGAGGCCAAGAGGGAAAGATACTGGAGTGCAGGGCATCACAGCAGGCTCACTTTCTACATTCCCACACTAGTCCCCTGATACCAACTGGGTGTAATTCAATTCAGTTCAATTCTGACATCAGCTACCTGGTGTTAGCACAAATCCCACAGGTTAAGGGACTTAGTCCCACAAGACTGCCTTACTTTAGATACCAACTACAAGTCTTGAGTGTCCTCAAACCACCCACACTTCTGCCTGCCCAGCTATACATTCAGGGGTTCTTCTGCACCCCATTTTGGGTTTGATAACGCAATAGAATGACTCAGAGAACTCACTAGAAGCATTATGTTTACAATTACCATTTTATTGTAAATGATATCAATGAACAGCCAGATGAAGATGCGCATGCAGCTAGGTCTGGAACAGCCCCAAGCACGAAAGCTTCTGTCCCGGTGGAATCAGGGTGTGCCTCCCTTCTAGCATTCCAATATTAATATGTTTATCAACCAGGAAGTTTTCCAAGCCTCGTTGTTCAGAGTTTCTATTGAGGTTTCATTATGTAGGCATGATTGATTTAATCATTGGCCATGTGACCGGAATCCATCTCCATCTTTTCCTGGAGGTGGAAGGGAGAGAGGAAGGACTGAAAGTTCCAACTCTTTAATCCCTTGGTTGGCTTTCCTGAGAACCAGCCTGTTCTGAACCTGTCTAGGGGATCCGCTGTGAGTCATCTCATTAGCATAAACGCAGGTGTGGCTGAAAAGGGCTCATTATGAATAACAAAAGACATTCCCATCATTCAGGAGCTTCTGAGCGTTTTTGAAACTCTGTGCCAGGAACCTGGGACAAAGACTAATATATTATTTTTTACTTTATTCCACTTTCTTACTCACAGAGACGAAGGGAGAGAATGGGGGAGGGTCCTGAGTGCTTCGTGAATTCATTGTGGGAGGAGGCGCTGGAACTGTATGAGTGGTTGAAGGAAAGTATGAGGAAAACAGAATCACAGATCATTTTTACTTAACTGGAGGTCTATCTTACAGAAGAGGGAACCTCTGCCAGGAGGAATTTGGACCAATGGGTGAAAGTAATGGAAAACCAGTTTTCAGCAGGAGCTGATGGGATGGGGTTGCCTTGAGAAGTAATAAGCTCCTAGAAGATATTTTAACAGAGCCAAATGCAAGTTCCATGTGAGCAGAGCTCAGTCAGATTTGACCCCTGCTGTGTGCCTGGGGCCTGGATATTACCTGGCAAAGAGTAGATCCTTACTAAATATTTGTTGAATATCCATTTGTCAATGAGAAGGGAAGTTAGTTTAAATATATGAAAACATAGGTCCAGTTATAAGTCTTTAGTATCCAGCCATTGTGCTGGCTTTTGAGGCAAAAAACAAAAACAAAAACAGAAAACTCTTCTTAAACTCACCACAGTAAGGGCTGGCTACAAGTGGGGAGATAGACATTTATGTCTAGAGCAGTTTAATAACAAATTATTTCCAGTTAAAGATGGCAAGTTGAACCCATCCATTAGTTTATACTCCCCCAAACCCATGGAAATTACAGTAAAAGGATTTTATTAAAAGGCATAAGCCCATCAGTTCAAAGGTGGAATGCAGATGGAGACTTTTAAAACATGCACTCTGAATGAAGAGACCCCCCCAAATAGGCTTTGTGTGAGCAACATGGCTGTTGATTCACCTGCGTGTGGGAGGGCTGAGTCCGAAAAGAGAGTCAGCAAAAGGCGATGGGGTAGGAGTTGGTTTTATAGGTTTGGGGTAGGCAGTGGAGAGTTACAGAAGTTACAGTTTAGGGCAGTTTTTGCAAGCTGCGAGAGGGTCGCAGGGTCTGGAGTCATGAGGTTGACCAAGGTGAGTTACAAAGTCCAATTGCCTTGTCAGTTGAGGCAGGAATAAGGAACAATAGAAGAATGTCTCAAGTTAATTATGCACTGCAGGTGTTGGTCATTCTACCCTTTTGTGGTTTTCCAGTTACTTCAGACTCTCTATTTCCAGGAACTCCTCCAGAGGTGTATGTGCCGGTCACGGAGGTTACCATGCTGTCCATGGTGCAGTCAGTCAGTGAAAAAGAGCTTACAGAGACGTCTAGGTAAAGATGGTGAATTGAATGCACACAATTCATTTTGCTCTTTTTGAAGACCCTAACGTGACAATGAAGGAATTTTTTAAAAATCAGAAACCCACAAAGATAGAGATGAGATAGAAATTTGGCAGGACTTGTTTTACAAGATACATGTCACAAGGACACTGCTGATAAAATGGGATGCGGTAAAGAAGTCAAAACCTGCCAAAACCAAGAGGGCAACAAAATCAACCTCTGATTGTCCTCACTGCTCATTATATGCTAATTATAATGCATTAGCATGCTAAAGGCACTCTCACCAGTGCCATGACAGTTTACAAATGCCATCTCAATGTCCAGAAGTTACCTTATATGGTCTGAAAGGAGGAGGAACCCTCAACTCTGGGAAATCTCTGCCCCTTTCCTGGAAAACTCATGAATAATCAACTCCATATTTAGCATATAATCAAGAAATAACCATAAATATAGCCAGCCAACAGCCCACAAAGGCTGCTATACCTATGTCATAACCATGTTTTAGTCCTTTACTTTCTTTTTTTTGAGATGGAGTCTCCCTCTGTCACCCAGGTTGGAGTTCAGTGGCACAGTCTTGGCTCACTGCAGCCTCTGTCTCCTGGGTTCAAGCGATTCTCCTGCCTCAGCTTCCCGAGTAGCTGGGATTACAGGTGCGTGCCACCACGCCCAGCTAGTTTTTGTATTTTTAGTAGAGATGGGGTTTCTCTATCTTAGCCAGGCTGGTCTGGAATTCCTGACCTCAGGTATCCACCCACCTTAGCCTCCCAAAAGTGCTGGGATTACAAGTATGAGCCACTGTACTCCGCCTTTTCCTTTACTTTCTTAATAAACTTCCTTTCACTTTATTCTGCTTGCTCTTGAATTCCTTCCTGTGCTTGAATTTCTTCCTGCACAAAGCCAAGAACCCACGTGGCCTCCTGGGCTGAGCCCCAATTTGGGGTTTGCCCTGTGCCAGAAATAATGGGAGAGAAGACAACAACAGCACAAGTTTGGAAACTGTAAAGCAATGAGTGAGTAAACTGAGCAGGCTGGGAAAAGCTGAAGCCTAAACTGTAAAAGGGGAAGGCTAAAAAGCCAATACCCACCCCTTCTCCCCAACCCCCACCACAGTCTCAGACACTGGTGACACTAATGTTGCTGGAAGTAGAGTGAGGAAGGGAGCTAAAATAATGAGACCTTGGGCTGGGTGTGGTGGCTCACGCCTGTAATCCTAGCACTTTAGGATGCCAAGGCGGGTGGATCACTTGAGGTCAGGAGTTTGAGACCAGCCTGGCCAACATGGTGAAACCCTGTCTCTACTAAAAATACAAACACTAGTCAGGCATGGTGTTGGGCGCCTGTAATCTCAGTTACTGGGGAGGCTGAGGCAGGAGAATTGCTTGAACCCAGGAGGCAGAGGTTATAGTGGATGGACATTACACCACTGCACTCCAGCCTGGATGACAGAGCAAGATTCCATCTCAAATAAATGAAAATAAATTAAATAAAATAAGGAGACCTGGCTAAAAATCAAGACGTTTGATTATTAGGTCACTTCCCCAAATCTGTGTAGGTGTATGTCTTAGTTTGTTTTCTTTTGCTATAAAAGAATACCAGGCCAGGTGTGGTGATGCACGCCTGTAATCCTAGCATTTTGGGAGTCTGAGGCAGGTGGATCACTTGAAGTCAGGAGTTTGAGACCAGCCTGGCCAACATGGCGAAACTCCGTCTCTACTAAAATTACAAAAATTAGCCAAGTGTGGTGGCAGGTGCCTATAATCTCAGCTATTTGGGAGGCTGAGGCAGAAGAATCACTTGAACACAGGAAGCAGAGGTGGCAGTGAGCCAAGATTATACCACTGCACTCCAGCCCGAGACTCTGTCTCAAAAACAAACAAACAAACCCAGAGACTGGGTAATTTATAAAGAAAAGAAATGTATTTCTTACAACCCTGGAGACCGGAAAGTCCAAAAACATGGTGCTGTCATCTGCTCAGTTTCTGTGAGGGCCTTCTTGCTATGTCATAATATAGTGGAGGGCATTACATGGCAAGAGGGCAGGAGCATGCATGTCAGCTCAGGTTTCTCTTCTCTGAGGGGACTGGTGGCTTTATAAGAAGAAGGATTCCCACCCTGATGACCTTGCTTAACCCTAATAATCTCCCAAAGGCCCTGCCTCCAATCAGCATATAAATGTGAAGACTGTTTCCAACACATGAAACTTGGGGAACACATTTACACTGTAGCAGTGGCTGGGTGCAGTGGCTCATGCCTGTAATCTCAGCACTTTGGGAGGCTAAATCTCAGCATAGAGGTGGTTCCCCCATGCTGGTGATTCTCATGACAGTGAGTGAATTCTCATGAGATCTGATGGTTTTATGTGTCAGGTTTTATAAGAGACAGGAAAATTACTTGAGGCCAAGAGTTTGAGACTAACCCGGGCAACATAGTGTAACCCTTTTCTATTTTTTTTTTTTTTTTTTTTTGATGGAGTCTCACTCTGTTGCCCAGGCTGGAGTGCAGTGGCATGACCTCAGCTCACTGCAACCTCCACCTCCCGAGTTCAAGCAATTCTCCTGCCTCAGCCTCCTGAGTAGCTGGGGTTACAGGCATCCACCACCACACCTGGCTAATTTTTGTATTTTTAGTAGAGAAAGCATTTTGCCATCTTGGCAAGGCCGGTCTTGAACTTCTGACCTCATGCTCCACCTGTCTGGGCCTCCCAAAGTGCTGGCATTACAGGCATGAGCCACTGCACCTGGCAGTGTGACCCTTCTCTACAAAAAATTTAAAAATTATCTGGGCATGGTGATGTACACTTGTAGTCCTAGCTACCTGGAAGGCTGAGATGGGAGGATCCCTTGAGCCCAGGAGATGGCGGTTACAGTGAACTGTGATCACACTACTGCACTCCAGCCTGGGTAGAGCAAGACTCTGTCTCAAAAAAGAAGAAAAAAAGTAAACTATAGCAGTGGATAATTGCTCTTTCTCCATGCTGGCAGAAAACTGAGATTTGTTCTTGGAAATGGTAAAACAAAATCTCTGGATTGGGGGATACCAGGCTGAGGATGGAGATACCATGTTTAAAAAAGGGAGAGAGATGAAACTGTTGGAAAAAAAAAACTTCCGCTCTACCAGCTTCGGTCTGTGTAGTTGGGGCCCTGCAAATGAATGGACATCAGACAGACTAACAGGAGAAAAGACAGATGTGCAGGAGCAGTTAGTAGTGAGTGCCTTGCTGGACAGCCAGAGTGAAAAGTTTATACAAGGTTAACAAAATAAGGGCTTAGGGCTTCAAAGATGGGAGGTTCTGATGAAGTTTCTTTACATCACTTTCTTGGAATGTCATAGTGTCCAAGGTCAGTTGACCTCCCTGGAGGGTGGGAGGAGGGCAGAGTTGTGGCCGGTGACTCACATAAAGCCGTGTTTTGGTCAGATAAGGAACATACAGATCATATCTCTTTCTGTATCTGCTTTTGGGTTTTTGGTGCCTTCAAAATGAACTTATGCATATAAGAGCGTGAGGCCTCCATATCCCTTTCCTGAGAATGCTGGCAGTCTGGCCTTTACCTTCTAAGCCAAAGACTGGAAGAGTTTTTTTCTGGGGAATCTGGTTAGCTCAAGAGGAAAGACTTAAAGATACAGACATCAGAGGTTCCCCAACTACAGAGCCATTCACCCTACAGGGATCTCCTGGTCAGACAGGTCCCACTTACCCACTAGGAGCTTCCAATTAACATTCAGTCCCCAACTCTCACACAGGAGCTAACAATGAGGGAAAGTCACCAACACGAAAGTCACCAAAACAAACAAGACCATAAGCAACTGAGCAGTGTTAAGTGCAATGTAGGAAGAAGAAAATTTCCAAAGAACAATTATTAATACCCTTAGAGAGATAAGCGATGATAACTGCATGAAATAAGAAATGGGGCCAGGCAAAGTGGCTTACACCTGTAATCCCCACACTTTGGGAGGCTGAGGCTGGCAGATCATGAGGTCAGGAGTTCGAGACCAGCCTGACCAACATGGTGAAACCCCATCTCTACTAAAGACACAAAAAATTAGCCAGGCGTGATGGCAGGTGCCTGTAATCCCAGCTACTTGGGAGACTGAGGCAGGAGAATTGCCTGAACCTGGAAGACGGAGGTTGCAGTGAGCCAAGATTGCACCATTGCACTCCAGCTTGGGCGACAGAGCGAGACTCCATATCAAAAAAGAAAAAAAAAAAAAAAAAAAGAAATAAGAAAGAAATGCTATATAAAATAATAAAGAAGAGCTCTTAGAAATTAAAAATATAGTAGGAGAAGTTGAAAATTTCAATAGAAGCATTAGAGGATTAAGTTTAAATGTGGGGGCCAAAGCCATCCGATCTCTGGAGTTTTGCAGAAAATTTAACGTGCAGAAGGCGAGGATGGACAGCTCTGTAGAAATACGATCGAGGAAAGAGGGTGACCTAGTGCCGACAGACTGAGTGGGGAAGCCCGGCAGGGTTGTCTGTCCAGATTCTTCTCAGCCTCTCTGAGAACGCGTTCCTTCCATTGGGTGTGCATCAGGACCCTCTCTGGATTAGGGGGTCGTACAACCTACAATCAAACAAGGTAGGTCAGATAATTTCTTTACAGCCAGTTTTTACACAGAAAGGCAAAGGGAAAATGAAAGTAATAGTTTTAGGTTTCATGGCTGGCTTTGGGGAAAAGGGATTCTTGTTTCTGTAGCTGGCCTTGAGGGAGAACTGGACTGAGAGACAGATGGCAGGAGACGATCATAGAAAAACTTTTGCTTCTGAGGCTGCTGCTGATGCCTTCATTTTGGGGTATCGTTTCCTGAGCTCAAACAAGTCTCTCAGAAAGTAGAATGATATAGTTTGACTGTGTCCACACCCAAATCTCGTCTTGAATTGTAGTTCCCATAATCCCCGTGTGTCATGGGAAGGACCTGGTGGGAAGTGATTGGATCACTGGGGCAGTTTCTCCCATGCTGTTCTCATGATAGTGAGTGAGTTCTTGCGAGATCTGGTTTCTAAGTGTCTGGCATTTCCCTTGCTGGCACTTCTCTCTCCTGCCATCTTGTGAAGAAGGTACTTGCTGCTCCTTCACCTTCCACCATGATTGTAAGATTCCTGAGGCCTCCCCAGTTATGTTGAACTGTGAGTCAATTAAACCTCTTTCCTTTAGAAATTACCCAGTCTCAGGCAGTTTGTTTGTTAGTTTATTTTGAGACAGAATCTCACTCTGTTACCCAGACTAGAGTGCAATGGTGCGATCTCAGCTCACTGCAACCTCCACCTCTTGAGTTCAAGTGATTCTCCTGCTTCAGCCTCCTGAGCAGCTGTGATTACTGGTGCATGCCACCATGCCCAGCTAATTTTTATATTTTTAGTAGAGACGGGGTTTTGCCATGTTGGCTAGGCTGGTCTTGAACTCCTGGCCTCACACTTGAGGCCTCCCAAAATGCTGTGATTACAGGAGTGAGCCACTGTACCCAGCCCTTGAGCAGTTCTTAATAGCAGCATGAGAATGGACTAATACACAGAACAAACAAGACAAAGAGATAGAAAATAGAAAAGATAAGAAAATTAGTGGAGCAGTCCAGAAAGTCCTCTATATGAAGGAAAGAAAACCCAAACAGAGCAGGGGAGGTTGTAAACTAACTCAAGAAAAGTCCCAGACCAGAAGAACATGAGTTTTCAGACTGAAAATACCTTCCAAGTGTCCAACATGCTGAAAAAATAGCTCACATCAAGGTGCAACATCGTGAAAAGAAGATTCTATAAGGTTCCTGAGAAAGAGGAGGAAAAAGCCATCACTTACAAAGGATCTAGTATCAGAATGGCATCTTTAGCATCACAATCATGTAAATATTGATCTAACAAAAATTGCAATATACATAAGTCATCAGGATGGAGAGGAGAAGAGTGTGTGTGTGTGTGTGTGTGTGTGTGCGTGTGTGTGTGTGTGATGGCAAGAGGGGAAAGACAGCCAAATCTGCATGCTCGATAATGGAAAGTCAATAGATAATGCCAAAAATGAAATAACAAAGACATAGCAACATAAGCACATTTTAAAGAGATTTGGAGGTAAATATTGAAAGAATCAGCTAAAAGCCTTGATATGGTTGCCTCTAAGGAGTGGTTGCCTCTGCCTGGGGTGGGTGAGGGGTTGGAAAGCAAGGGATTACAGGTGGTTTGTTTTTTAATTTCAAACCCACTAGAATTAGGTAACTTCGTAAACCTTGTAGATGTATAACATTCATAAAATAAAAAAGTAGAACTAAAAAAATGCTGGGCACATGTTTTTTGTTGTATTATATGTATTTGTATGTCTGCCATTTTTCATAATAAAAATATTTTAAAGAAAAAAAATCCCAGGCCTGATGACAACGTCAGAGGAGGGAGAGATTCTGTGGGCTGGAGAAGCCTTCATGGGTGGGGCTTTCTTTAGTTGAGTGGTGAGCTGGGATGGGACTTAAATGGGCAGCGGGAGGCAGGGGGCCTTCCGGGACGAGAGGGAGGCAGAGAGCAAAGGCTCAGGGAGGCTCTGATGCAGGTGTGTTTAGTATGTCTTTCTCTCTGATTGGGTAAAATGCCCCCCCACCCCATGCTATACTCTGCTCACAGTGAAAGATGAGGTGGATTTTGGCAGAGATGACCAGCAGGGGGATCTGGACTTCTCTTGAGAGGCCGGCAACACGGATGAAAGGTGTGCCTGAAAAGGCAAACTGTCCTGGCCACAAGCAGGATGGGCCCGCAGGAGAAGCCGGGGCAGTGACTTTGAGCAAACCAGTGACGGCCTTGGGTAGTGGCAGTGGGGACGGAAAGAAGGGATGGGTAAAAGAAGGTTTTGAAGTTGAAGGAAAAGAATGTGTTGGTGGCCGGAGGAGAGAGATGGAGGGAAGAGTCCAAGATGGTGGAGACTTTGGGTGTGGGAGAAGGATGGAGATGTGGGAAGAAATAGGAACACAAGGGAGCTGAGGATGGGGTTTAAAAGTGTGCAGGGGCAGAGGGAAGGACCTGCAAGTAGAAAGGACTTACTGGGAATTGGGAGGGAGGAGAAACTTATGGTCTAGAGGAGAGGTTTGAGGTGATGGGCCAAAGTCCATGGTGACAACTGACATGTTTCTCAGGCTTTGCAGCCTCAAAGTCCTTTCTCAGGCCCAGCCACATTCAGCTCTGTGAGAAGGAGAGGCAGACTTATTTCCATTTTACCAAAGGGGAAACTGAGGCTCCCAAGAACTCACCCTCTGGGTATATGATCAAAACTCTCATTTTTTGCCCAAACCACTGTGGTAGGCGATAGGAGTGGATGTTGTCCCTGAAGGATGTATGCAGAGGGAGAATGGCAGAGGGACAGGGGCTAAGCACCCCCAGGTGGAGGGCAGGAGAGGCAGGGGAAGAATCAGGCAGGGAGACAAGAAAAGGGAGAGGCTGGTACAGATGGGGAGGAAGGACAGAGTTTAAGGAGATGTCAGGACAAAAACAGCTGCAAATGAGATGTACTAGGCTCATGCCCCAGGCCGAGCACTGCCCTCAGCTCCTCATCTCATTTGGTCCTGATGACAACTCTATGAAATAGGTGAGGGATTAATGAGGAAACAGGAACTAAACCCTTTCCAAGGCCACTCACTCATCACTGCGTGGTGGAGCCAGGATTTGAATCCCAGCATCTGACTCAGAGACCTGGAATCTCAACTCTGCCATGTTGCAGGCCACAGACCTGCAACATGGGGGTGGTTTCAAAAATTAAAACATCTTTTTTTATGTTAAAAAGATAGATTTTTAAACCACACTTCCCAAAAATAGTGACACTCATTATAATAAATAAAAGTAAACTGACCAGGCACAGTGGCTCACACCTGTAATCCCAGCATTTTGAGAGACCAAGGCAGGTGGATCATGAGGTCAGGAGTTCAAGACCAGCCTGACCAAGATGGTGAGACCCCTGTCTCTACTAAAAATACAAAAATTAGCTGAGTGTGGTGGCAGGCACCTGTAATCCCAGGTTTTCAGGAGGGTAAGGCAGGGGAATCACTTGAACCTGGGAGGCGCAGGTTGCAGCAGTGAGCTGAGATCGCACCACTGCACTCCAGCCTGGCAACAGAGTAAGACTCTCTCTCAAAAAAAAAAAAAAGTAAACCACTACTTAAAGCCAATGAGACTTCCTCCTTTACCCCTGTACCCCCAAACATTGGAGCACTCACCCCACTAAGGTTAGGGATTGGACTGCCTGGGAACCCAGATCAGGGGACAAGCTCGGGACCTGGGTGGATTTCATAAAGGACAAAGCCCTTGGAATGGTGTGTGAATGTTTTCTGTATCTGTAGACATAAACAGTGTGGCTGTGGGGAGCAGCCACCAGTGTGGGGGCCCCTCAAAAGTTAAAAAGTGACTGATGCTGACTTGTGTCCTGGTCTGCTCTGCGGTGGGTGTCCTGCCTGTACAGAGAGAGGGGAGTATGTGTGAGAGCGTGTGTATCAATGTGCATGCATGCACATATTTGTGAGTTTCATTGTATGACTATGTGTGTGGGTTTTGTTTGTAATGATGAATTGTGTGTCTGTGAGCAGATAGTTGTGTATGTGCCTATAAACCAATGTCTGCGTGTGTGTGTGTGTTAGGTATGTGAGTGTGTAAGTGAAAGTGTAAGTATGTCAACGTTGATGAATTGTGTATCTGGGGACCTATCTGGGGACCGGAATATTTGTTCATGGGAGTGCCTGTGTATTCACATATGTGCACATGTGCATGTGAACAGAAGTGTGGGATGCATGTTCTGTGATTATGGGTCATGTGTAAGAGGGCAGATGTATATAAATACATGTGCCAGTTATGTGATGTCTGTGGATGAAGTGTGAGGTGTATGTGATTATGAATCCTGTGTCTGGGGCAGGTTGATTTGGTGTGTGTGTGTGTGTGTGTGTGTGTGTGTGTGTGTGTGTAGTGGTGACTGGGCATGAGAGTGCATGGCTGCAGGTCTGTATATATAGCCATCAATGTACCTGTGTATGTGAGTGTGCTGGGAAAAGACATCAGAAGTCCTTGCCATTCCCCCATTTCAGCCCCCCAGCCTTCAGAGCCTGCTCCCATTTGGGTCTAGAGCAGCATGCTCCAGAGAGATGTGAGCATCCTTTCAGTGGCCTGGGGAGCAGTGACAAGGAAATGTGCTTGTTTATACCTGAAAACCTTAATAAATCATCAAATTTACGTGTGTGTTGCAGGGAGCAATGGGAACAGGCAGCATTCAACTTGCAGGCCGTGCAGATGTTTAACTTAATGTGAAAGTTTATTTGTAAGCCCAGAGAGTGAGTCGTGCTGGAGACAAGACTCCCAGGCCCCGGATAAATCCGAGAACGTTTTTTTTTTTCCCTCCTCTCTCCTTTGCACGCCTTTTAGCAGAGCCTTGGAATAACGTTAATTTATCTAATGTGTGCATGCCATAAGTTACTTTTTTAATTATTATGATCAAAATATTGCTTAAAATTGACGCCGGCTGCATGTGTTTCTGTCAGAGACCGTAATTGCAATTGTAAATTGGGGAGCAGTTTGGCGCCAGGAGCCTCCCTGAGTAACGTCCCCAATACTCTTACCCAGAGGTAGATACAAACAGAACTGCAGATCGCACGGCAAAAATACACCAGCGTGAGGTAAAAGGGTAATTAGCAGTGCAGAAAGGGAAGTGGGCTCTTTCCTGTTCTGCGGCCCACAGGGGCAAGGACTGGGCTAGAGGCTGGCCCCAGACAGGGCTAGGGCTGGGCGTGGGATGGCGCCTAGGGAAGGACCCAAGTAGGCCTCTGCACCTCAGTTTCTCCTGTAAAATGAATATAATGGAAACACCCATCACTCCAACCAGGTGATGCGTGTGAAAGTTTCCCAGAAACCCACAAGCTCCCTATCTAAGTAAAGGGATTCCTCAAGGGCTCGGGAAATGGTGCTTTCTTCACCTTCCCCATCAGGAATGGTTTAGGCTGACTTTGACTTTCAAAGAAAACTGCAGATCTAGGACCAGAAGGCTGCCTTAGAGTGCAATGGTTAGGACCTCAAGCCTTAAAATTATTTTATTCATCCATACATTCATCTGATAATATTTATGGTACACCCTTTATGTTCCAGGACCTATCCAGGCGTTAGGGATAGAGCAGTGAACAAAACAGAGATCCCTGCCCTGCAGAGCGCACGTTCTAGCAATGGGGCCAATAAGCAATGAACATAGTAAGTAAACTGGGTAATACAGAAGTGAATTATATAGCACATTACAAGTGGACACATTGTAGTTGTGTGACTTTAGACAAGTTACTTAACCCAGGGCTACTGAACCCTTTTTACATAGTGGCCCAGGCCATCATCATCACGGTGGCAATGCAACCTACTAACAGCCCATGTCATTATCATAGTGGTAATAGTAATAACAATCGTTTATATGGCATCAACTGTGTGCCAGACACTGTTCTAAGCACCTGCCATATAAGCGATTGATGATGATGGCATAGGTAAGGCTATCTTTCTTGAACCTTCGTGCCATGCCATTAATCCTCACAAGGAATCTATGAGGCGAGGAGGTGATCATAATACTGTAGGGCTGGTGGGTAGACCCATGGCGCTGCCATCCTGTAGCTGAGCAGAACGAATTTGCAGATTAGAGAAATGGGTACAGTAATAGTGCTCAGCTCCCAAGGGTGGAGAAAATGCCTGGGAAGTACCCAGCACAGCACATGGCACAGCATGAAGGTTTCAGAAAGATAAGCTTGTTTTGTTACTCACATGTAAGCCCTGAGACAGGCGAGAGTCAGGAAGCTGGTTAGGGGAATAGAGGGGAGCTCATTGACCTAGCAGTGAACCTGGTTACCTGCAGAGCTCATAAGTCATCTAAGGGACCAAGGCTACTGAGGGTGGATGGCCTGTGAGAGGTGACTTCAGGGGGAAAGCGTTCTTGTTCCTGGCTGGTGTCAAATAAAGAGCAAATCAGGACTTAAGTGAGAGAGACTATGTGAAAAGGCAATTGCAATAGGAGGGGAGGGATGGGGGGTGCTTTAGAACCTGGTCCTGGCTAGAAAGAGGTGGTATGTGGTAAGAGGAGGTGATGGTGCTGGGCTGTTCCTGGCTTGCTGGACCTCCCTGTGCTGCCCACCTGTGGTCCAGGGAGACAGTGAGGGCTGGGCCGCCCCTTGGTCTATGCCCTGAACCAGGAGAGGCAGAGCCTCATACTGGGTGGGAGCAGAGGCTGGAGGTGAAAGCCTGGGCCCTGCTCCCTCCCACCAAGTTTAGAGGCTGCCCATGTATGACCTCTGCTCAGTAGGGATAAGGGTTTTCTTTAGTCTCTCCCTCCCAAGCTTTCTTTCCAACCATCATATGGGAAGATGTGCGGGAGTTGGCCACATGTCTGTCTGTGGTTGCAGAGTGCCTCGAAGCTGGCAGGGGCCTGGAGGCAGGACCAAAGAGCATCACTTTGTTTAGAGCCTCTCTCCCTCGCCCTTCCACTGTTCTTGCTATGCCAGCCATGGGCTGTTTGACGAGTGACGGATGCCGCCCTGCAGGGAGAGGGCAGGAGAGGAGCTCAGCCCCTGCGCTTTCTCCAGGTTCTGTTCTCCAGCCTGAGCCAGTCCTGCCATACCCACAGCCACCTCCAGCCTCCCGGGCTGCTGATGTACCACCCGCCTGTCTTCCCATCACTCAGGGTGACTCCATAATGACTATAATCATGGTGTTCGCGAAGAGGTGAGGGAGGGACAGCGAGAGCTTCCCTAGACAGCCTGTCCATTAGTGGGGCAGCAGCCTGTCACAGCTGTCCGGAGAGAGATGAGCCCGGACCAGGCCAGAGAGGGCTGGGAGGGGAGACCAAGAACCCCTGTCTTCTCCATCCCTTCTTCCCCTTCCCCGGTCCCTGGCCTTCTGTTTAGGAACTCTGCTCTAATTATAAATGATTTGACAACTTTAGGCCAGGCTCTGTAATTAAAAATAAAGAAGAAGACAGGCAGCATTGTTTCCTAACACGATGCCTTTAATTGGTGGAGTTAATTTTAACGGGGCCTAGTTCAGTGCCTTGGAGGAGGGGATTCCAGAACTGGGGCTCTTTCTGGCATCCCCTGGAATACTCGCCCAGCATTGGCATCACTCTTGACATCTGGCATCCCCTGGAATGCTCGCCCAGCCCATTTACCTCATCAGCCAGGGTTCCTCAGGCGAGGGGCAGGGTCTTCATTTATTTTTATCTCTGGTGCCTGGCACACAGTAAGCAGAAGCAGGATCTTCCACCCCTTTCAGCCACACAGGAGGCTGAAGATGGGGAATTGCTTGAGCTCAGGAGATCCAGGCTGCAGTGAGCTGTGATGGTGCCATTGCACTCCACCCCCACTCCCAAAATAAATGAATTTAAAAAATAAAAATTTTTAAAAGCCACATTGGGATTGTGACTTGCAAAGAATAGAGAGAAAGCCTTCCAGACTGTCTCAAGTGACAAGGGAGACATTGCAAGGGCAAGGAGGGGCTGCCGTGGATACCCCAAGGCAGGAAGGGAACAACAGCTGATCCATACAGGGTGGAACCCATGTCAAGGAGGGAAACCCCTCCCTCTACCTCTGAGACTTCCATAATTAAGTCTATGAAATAAACTGACAGGAGGCAGATTAGCAGGAGAAAAGGTAGACATGATTATTATGTGCACAGGAGCATCACGTGAAGGAAAAGTGAATACCCCAAACCCAGCGAGATTTAGAAGCTGAGATGCGTTCTTCATAGGGGAGAGAGAAGGGGGACTGCGGGCAAGTTGGAGGAGAGTATATGGGATTCGGAAAGATGAATGGGCCCTTGGAAGAATGAGTGAGTCTGACAAAGTCTGCCTGAGTGGGTGCCCCCCAGACCCCCAGTTTCCTCTCTCTCCTGTGATAGGAGCCAGTCTTCTCTGTTTGATAGATTCCCAGGGAGGGTTTCATGACTGTTGGCTTCTTTTTGGAGGACGTCTTTAGGTAGATGCAGGAAGCTCAGCGAGCGCCCCTGCCTGCATTCGCTGTACCCCAAGTGCTCTCAGTTTGAGGTAATCAGCATACCAGAGCTAAATATTTTGGGGTGACATTCCCTGAACTTTTTTTTTTTTTTTTTTTTCTGGAGACTAGGGAAGCCAGGAACTCAACCTGCTTTCTCCATCTCTCAAGGCCTCCTCAGTAGCCAAGACTTCTCTTTCTCTGGGGTCTCCCACCTTTTTGGGGACCAGCCTCCCTAAAGATAAGAGACTGTTTTTCTCTTTTAACTTCAGCTCATGCTGAAATTAAATCCTTTCTTTAGTTCTTTTAGCACTGCCAAAGACAGGCTGGTATTTTCAAATATAACTGTATCTTTTAAAAACGAGAAAATAGAAATAGAAAATACAAATAGCAGAAACAGTTTTCCAAAGGGCAGATTCTGAGTGCTAGGAATCCTGGTAGAAGTAGAAGCTCCGTTTTCTAAGTTCCAAGCTATGCAATAACCTTTCTCTAACCTTCCAAGAGCTGGGACAATTCTACCCCTGCCCCCATGAGATAGATGCCTCAGATGTAATCTACAGAAGCAGAACTGTCCCAGTGTTTTCAAGGAACCCCTCTGAGAAGAGAGCCTGGCTCAGTAAATATGTAGTATCTTATTTTCCACCAAATGAAACAGTTTATCAGGATATTTTATTTCCTCCTGGGAGGAACAAGAAAGACCCCCCAAAGACATACCCTTCTGTAAATTAAACCTCTTGGATCTAAGCCTTCCCTCATCCCCATTACCCAAGCCTCATCCCTAAATCTCGCCAGTTTCATAAGAAGCTGAATAATGTTTTTGAAATAGTAAACCTACCTGTTCCTATTGCCTGGTCGCCCCGCACCCAGTGAGTCAATGACATCGATGCCTCTGGGGAGGGCGGCTACAGCCTAGAACAAAGAAGTCAATTGAGTTGCTAAATGGATTTTTTTTTTTTTTTAACTTGAGGCAGATACAGATACAATAGTCTATGGGCAAAGCGATTTTGATTTGCAAGAGCTAGAGCTTAAAAGAGAAAGTTCAGCTTTAAATTCCAAGAAGGCTTAGTTTAAACTCAGGACTGATCATTGAATTTCTGAAAGTTAACCGTAAGGTGTCTGGGGATGTAGTAGATGTTAAATGTTGATCGAACCAGTCTTTCTCCATGTACAAAAATCCGTCTATGTGATTCAACTTTTATTCTCAAGCAATGCTTTAATGAGTAGCAGTAGTTAACATTGTAATTACCTGATGCCAGGTACTGTGCTAAGGGTTAGATAACTCATTTAATATTCTCAACAACCTCATAGAAGTGGTAGCACGATTATCCCCATGCTCAGATGAGCTCATGTTGATTGCCTGCTGCCCAGCTATAACAATGCCTCTCTGTCATTCAATCAGTTCTCTCACTTCTGTTTCCATCGTGCCTTCTCCATCCGGGTTCTTGTGCGTACTCTTCTCTCTGCTGGGAAGATTCATCAACACCTTGTCTCTTCGGAGAAATCAGACCCACCTTGTTCTGAGGCTTCCAGGGACAGGTAATCATATCCTTCTCTGTGCCACAGCTAAACCTGTGCACATACAGGTTATATTTTTGCATTTTATATACAGAACTTTACTGGAATTACTTGTGTAGGTTGGTTTCATTTGAGAGTAGTGGGGTTTCCTCTGTATCTTTAGAATCTAACAAATGCTTGGCACATAGTAGGGACCAAAGACTAATAAATAAGTGACTAAATGATGAATGAATGAAAAAAAAAGTTAACCACAGAGCAGAGACCTGAGGGTACTTGCCCCTCCATGCAGGAAAAGCTTCCTGGGAAATAGGGAATCCTAAGGAGAGAGGTGGAACCATCATTTAGAAGGAGACTTTGGGTCCCTGCTTTCTACTTAGAGGTCAGAACCCCTGGGGGTGATAGAGACCACAGGTGCATCTGCTAAGCCCCGGGCAGTTTATGCCTTGCTTCCCTCTGGAACTCTCAGAATATCCTGAGCCAGCAGGGAAAAGACTTGCAGAGAGGAAGGTGACTTTAGGCAATGAGAGGGCCTGAGATCCTTGCTGTTGGTCCTTCCCACAACTCCCTTCAGGTTCCCGGCCTGCAGCTGATACCAAGGAAATCTGGAGTGGCCTCCAATCTGAGAGATGAGGACTGGGGTACAAGTCAGGGCTAGCAGGAGAGGAGCAGCCCAGCAATCAAGATAAATAATATTGTAATGCAATACTTAAAAAAAAAATTGGCGACTGGGCACGGTGGCTCAATGCCTGTAATCCCAGCACTTTGGGAGGCTGAGGCAGGAGGATCATGAGGTCCGGAATTCAAGACCAGCACCTGGACAAGATAGTGAAACCCCATCTCTACTAAAAATACAAAAATTAGCCGGGCTTGGTGGCGGGCACCTGTAATATCAGCAACTTGGGAGGCTGAGGCAGAGAATTGCTCGAACCTGGGAGGCAGAGGTTGCAGTGAGCTGAAATTATGCCACTGCACTCCAGCCTGGGTGACAGAGTGAGACTCCATCAAAATAGCAACAACAACAACAAATTGGCAAAATATGGCTCATGGGTTGGCTACCTAGTTTTATTTTTAATTATTTAATTACTTTTTTTGAGATAAGGTCTCACTGTGTTGCCTAGGCTGGTCTCGAACTCACGCAATCCTTCTGCCTCAGCCTCCCGAATAGCTGAGACTACAGGCATGTGCCACAGTGCCCAGCTGTTGCCCAGCTGTTGCCTGTTGTGTATGTGTCTCTGTGTGTGTGCATGTTTTGAGATGGAGTCTCACTTTGTTGCCCCGGCTAGAATGCAGTGGTGCCATCTTGGGTTCAAGTGATTCTCCTGCCTCAGACTCCCAAGTAGCTGGGACTACAGGTGCCCACCACCATGCCCAGCTAATTTTTTTATTTTTTAGTAGAGACAGCGTTTCACCATATTGGCCAGGCTGGTCTTGAACTCCTGACCTTGTGATCTGCCTGCCTCCCAAAGTGCTGGGCTTACAGACGTGAGCCACCATGTCTGACCTCCTGGTTTTATGAATAAAACTTTATTGGAACTAGGACCAAGATTAGAGTGAGGTGAGTGAGACAGGATCATCCATGTGCAGGGTTGGATCCTGCCTCTAAAATTTGATATATTGTTTTGATTAAAAAAAACTTTTAAAAATTAATTAATTTATTTAGAGACGGGGCTTTGCTCTGTTGCTGAAGCTGGAGTGCAGTGGTGTGATTATGGCTCACTGCAGCCTTGAACTCCCGGGCTCAAGCGATCCTCTTGCCTCAGTCTCCCAAATAGCTGGGACTACAGGCACTGTCACCATATGTGGCTAATTTTTTAAAATCTTTGTAGAGATGGAGTCTTGCTATGTTGCCCAGGATGATCTTGAACATCTAGGCTCAAGCAACCTCACTGCCTCAACCTCCCAAAGTGCTGGGATTACAGGCATGACCACCACACCTGGCCTAAGTGCCGCGTTTTGGGGCTACAACTTACATTTTATGCCTGAGATGAGTGCCTTGGTCTCGTGCTCCAGTCTTGGCCTAGGAGGTGGAAGCTGTGTCAGAGGGGTTGCGGGAGTGATGAGGGCTGCTGCCTCCAGAAGATGCCTTTGCTTTTTGATGAGAGCACAGGCTGGATTTCAGTTTCTTTCACCGTTTCAGCAGACCCCTCTGTATATAGTACAATCTGCACAACTCTACAGGGGGGCCATGTCTGGAAAACAGACTACAGATTAGTTCACCCACAGGTAGTCCCCAGCAGTGGGAGATGCACCAAGGACAGAAACCCAGGACCATTGAGGACAAGCCACCTTTCAGCCTCCCTTCTGGGTAGGCAAGGGGAGCCCCTTGGCTGGGTATGGATCAATCTTGGCACACTGCAAACTTCACCTCCCAGGTTCAAGTGATTCTCCTGCCTCAGCCTCCCGAATAGCTGCGATCACAGGCGTGAACCACCACTCCTGGCTAATTTTTGTATTTTTAGTGGAGACGGGGTTATGTCGTATTGGCCAGGCTGGTTTCAAACTCCTGGCCTCAAGTGATCCACCTGCCTTGGCCTCCCAAAGTGCTGGGATTACAGGTGTTATTTGTCTTTTAATTGCTGAGTTATAAGAGTTCTTTATGTATTCTGTGTACAAGTAAGTTATGAATGGCTTCCTTTTGTGTAGAGGATGAATTTTAGTCCCTTCAGCTGTCCTGCAAGGCTCTTCCAGATCGAAACTGATTTCCTTACTGCGGGCTCTATCTCCTGCTACTCCCTTCCTTTTACTGATAATGCTTTTTCACGTGCCTGTCCAGAAAATGCTCTCTCTCACACTGGCCTTTTGTAGATGCCATTCCAAAAACATTATTATTCCTTCTTGCCTGGCTAAAATCCACTCACCCTCCACTTAAGGTTCCTTTCTGTGGGCTAAAAAGATGGTGCAGGCGGGGCATGCATGGTGGCTCATGCTTAGAATCCCAGCACTTTGGGAGGCTGAGGCAGGAGGATCACTTGAGCCTGGGAGTTTGAGAGACCAGCCTGGGCAACATAGCGAGACTCTCCAAAAAAGTAAGAAAAAAAAAAATTAAATCAATATTAAATATATGTAAAAAAAGATGGTGCAGCAGGCAAGCTCCATGCCTGAGAGTTGGTCTATGTTCAGGACCAGCTGCTGAGGGCACCTGTGGATTCTGGCCCTGTGACACTGACAGTGAGGTGCTGGAAAGTGATTGCAACACCGTCCACGAGACCCAAGAGGGCCAGTGAATCCCTTGGAATTAGAGGAGATTTTAAAGGTCATTTAGCCCACCCTCCTGCCCCGGAAGTTGGAGCATTTCTGCATCATCCCCATGTAGCCTGTCCTGTCTCTGGATTCCACCGGGCAAGCTAAACCACTGATATGGGGATACGCAACACAACCTTTAGGGAAGGGGGATGGTATGTTTACCTGCAGGCAGGCAGCCCTGGGCTTCAATCCTGGCTCCGCCCTCAGCCATGGAATCTAGGACAGGTCTCCTAAGTTAGCTTTTCAGTCTGCAGACAGGTGGTAAAAGCTGCCTCGTGGGGCTGTTATTTGGCACTGGGCAGGCACTCAGCAGTGTTGGTTTCCTTTCCCTCCTATTGGAAAACTTGTCCTCAGATTGAGCCTAAATCTGTTTTCCTGTGAATTCCAAATATTGGTCTTGGAGCCACAGGGGGCACATCTCTCTCATCCCACTGTCTGTTTCATGTTTGGAGTTTGTCCCCTTAAAAGCCTCTCTTGAGGTTAGGCACGGTGGCTCATGCCTGTAATCCTAGCACTTTGGGAGGCTGAGGCAGGTGGATCACAAGGTCAGGAGTTTGAGACCAGCCTGGCCAATATGGTGAAACTCTGTCTCTACTAAAAATACAAAAATTAGCCAGGCATGGTGATGGGCCCCTGTAGTCCCAGCTACTTGGGAGACTGAGGTAGGAGAATTGCTTCAACCCGGGAGGGGGAGGTTGCAGTGAGCCGAGATTGTGCCATTGCACTCCAGCCTGGGAGACAGAGCAAGACTCCATCTCAAAAAAAAAAAAAAAAAAAGCCTCTCTCTGCAAACTCAACATCTTCACCTCCCTTAGCAGCTCAGCCCCAGTCACCCATGCTGAGGTGAGCCTCACCCAGAGTCCTTGAGAGGCAAATCCATTCCACAGACAATGGCTGCATTATTGATAATGGTTAGGCTTTGTATCCCCACCCAGGTATCATCTTGAATCATAATCCCTATAATCCCCATAATCTCTTATGTGACAAGGGGGAGACAAGGTGGAGTTAATTGAATCATAAGGGTGGTTCCCCCATGCTGTTTTCACAATAGTGAGTTCTCATGAGATCTGATGGTTTTATGAGAGTTTGGTAGTTCCTCCTGCGTTCATTCTCCCTCCTGCCACCTTGTGAAGAAGGGGCCTCGCT